AACATTTCGAGTAACCAACTTCGAGGAAGAATCCAACTCTGAGTCATTGAGAGCCAACCTGGACCTGATCGACGAACACAGGACGCAGGCCGAGCTGAAAAACGCGGCATACAAGAGACGGAGTGAAAGATACATCAACTCTCAAGTCAAACCGCGCTCGTACCAGGTCGACGACTTGGTGCTCAAAAGGGTGACGGGGCCCGACCCCGGACCCCTTAGTACAAGTGATATTAAAATACCTAAGTTAGCTAAATAATATTTATGGAATGTCCGAACCTAGATTATTAATTATTAATATATCAATATTATTTGTCCAAATCTAATTACGAAGCATGATTCTTCGCCAAGTAGGATTCTGAAGCACCAGAAGCAGCCACGTAGGCTCAGCGTATTCAGGAATTATATATAGGGAGGATTATCCTTTCTTATTTAGACCATGTTGTTTTAACTTTTACTTTACATCCCCTACATTTCAGAATGCGCTGAGCCTAGGGCTATGTTTAGTAAAACTAGTTGATAAGCTAACTGATAGATGATAAGCTAGCTTATAGCTTATCAGTAATTTTTTACCTTATAGCTTATAGCTTGAGACTTATAGTTGAAAAGCTAGCTTATATGATAAAACTGTTTGGTAAAATTAGCTGATAAGCTAGCTGGAATAAAAAATTCAACTAGCTTATTTGAAACGTTACCTAAAGAAGCTTATCAAATAAGCTCGAGCTTTTTAAAAAAGTTTGTCCAACCAAACAAGGCTTATTTTAATACAGGGAGCTTATAAGCTAATCAAATGAGCTATAAGCTAACTTATTTGTCTACCAAACATAGCCTAAGTGGTAGACTCGCACGCCTGGAATCCTATGTGGCAAATAAATGGTTTGTCATTTAGCTTGGATGAATTTAATTTATTTCCAATAAAAAAATAACTAGGCTTTTGAATATCTATATATATATATTGGATATTATGATCATTTTTAGAGCATTAATTATGTTTAAATTTTATTTTCTATTCTAAACGTAGTTTATAAAGGCATATTTTTTTTTCTAATCTTTCTTTTTTTCATCTTTCTTTTATAATTATAAATTTACGAACATAAATTATAAATATATTTAAAAGCTAATAACTATTTTATTTATTACAAATTTCTTATATATAATATATCAAATTAATCATGTCTTGGTGATACTCGATTTGACATATGTACTGTACATAAAAATAAATAACTAATTATATTTATCTTTATGATAAACATTATATCATATATATTAATTAGAAAAAAATTGTGTTAAATTAATTTAATTACAAATTAATTATATCATATAAATTAAAAAGTATTATAATATAAAATGTCAAACCATATAAGTGAGGGGTGTCATTCTAAATATAAATAAAATACAATTTTTTCTTAAAAAAATAAAATATTTAAAAATTAAAACTTTTTTAATTTTAATTTTAAACAAAAATTTCTTAACAAGTATGTGTAGTACATATGTATTGTACTAGTAT